AATGTATTTTAAAGGGGCTGCTCTGGATGGAAGTATGCCTAAGGCTAAATAGCTGTCACCAGAGAATATACAAGTACAGCAAAGAAAGTAGACCAACGAAATACTTACAAATGAAAAATAAAATCACCTATCCACAAAATCCATCAAGGGAAACACAAAGAGTACAGAATAAAACACCTACCATATAAAGAGTGGAGCAGGAAGAAGACAGAGAAATAAAGAATTATAAGACTGTGTTTATAATAGCATAATAAGTGAGTTAACTTAGACGGTTAGATAGAAAAGAAACTGCCATTGAACCTTTGGTAACCACAAATCCAAAGCCTGAAATGGCAGTAAGTACATATCTATTGATAATCACCCTAAATGTGAATGGACTGAATGCACCAATCAAAAGACACAGGGTTGCAGAATGGACAAAAAAGCAAGGCCCATCTACATGCAGCCTACAAGAAACTCACTTCAAACCCAAAGACACACACAGACTAAAAGTGATGGGGTGGAAAAAGGTACTTCATGCAAACAATAAGGAGAAAAAAGCAGGTGTTGTATCAGACAAAATAGACTTCAAAACAAAGAAAGTAACAAGAGACAAAGAAGGACATTATATAATGATAAAGGGGATAAAACCATTATAAACAGCTACGCACCCAACACAGGAACAGCTAAAAAGGTGAAACAAATACTAACAGAATTAAAGGAGGAAATAGAATGCAATGCATTTATTTTAGGAGACTTCAACACACCACTCACTCCAAAGGGCAGATCCACCAGACAGAAAATAAGTAAGGACAGAGAGACACTGAACAGCACACTAGAACAGATGAACCTAACAGACATCTACAGAATTCTACACCAAAAAGCAGCAGGATACACATTCTTCTAAAGTGCACATGGAACATTTTCCAGAATAGACCACATACTAGGTCACAAAAAAAAGCCTCAGTAAATTTAAAAAGATTGAAATTGTACCAACCAACTTCTCAGATCACAAAGGCATAAAACTAGAAATAAATTGTGGAAAGAAAGCAAAAAGGCTCACAAACACATGGAGGGTTAACAACATGCTCCTAAATAATCAATGGAATGACCAAATTAAAACAGAGATCAAGCAATATATGGAGACAAATGACAAAAACAGCAGAAAGCCCAAACTTCTGTGGGATGCAGCGAAGCCAGTTCTAGGAGGAAAGTATAAGCAATCCAGGCCTACTTAAAAAAGGAAGGACAATCCCAAATGAATAGTCTAAAATCACAATTATTGAAACTGGAAAAAGATGTACAAATGAGGCCCAAAGTCAGCAGAAGGATGGACAGAATAAAGATCAGAGAAGAAATAAGAAAAATTGAGAATAATAAAACAATAGAAAAAAAATCAATGAAACTAAGAGCTGGTTCTTTGAAAAAATAAACAAAATAGATAAGCCCTTAGCCGGACTTATTAAGAGAAAAAGAGAATCAAGACACATCAACAGAATCAGAAACGAGAAAGGAAAAATCATGACGGACCCCACTGAAATATAAAGAATTATTAGAGAATACTATGAAAATCTATATGCTAACAAGCTGAAAAACCTAGAAGAAATAGACAACTTCCTAGAAAAATACAACCTACCAAGACTGACCAAGGAAGAAACAGAAAATCTAAACTGACCAATTACCAGCAAAGAAATTGAATTAATCATAAAACTACCCAAGAACAAAAGCCCTGAACATGGATTCACTGCTGAATTTTATCAGACATATGGAGAAGACATAATACCCATTCTCCTTAAAGTGTTCCAAAAAATAGAAGAGGAGGGAATACTCCCAAACCTTCTATGAAGCCAACATCACCCTAATACCAAAACCAGGCAAAGATCCCACCAAAACAGAAAATTACAGACCAATATTCCTGATGAACATAGATGCAAAAATACTCAACAAAATATATGCAACTGAATTCAAAAATACATCAAAAGGATCACACACCGTGACCAAGTGGGATTCATCCCAGGGATGCAAGGATGGTACAACATTTGAAAATTCATCAACATCATCCACCCCATCAACAAAAAGAAGGACAGAAACCATATGATCATTTCCATAGATGCTGAAAAAGCATTTGACAAAATTCAACATCCATTCATGATAAAAACTCTCAACAAAATGGATATACAGTGCAAGTACCTCAACATAATAAAGGCCATATATGACAAACCCACAGCCAACATCACACTTAACAGCAAGAAGCTGAAAGCTTTTCCTCTAAGATTGGAAACAAGACATGGATGCCCATACTCCCCTCTGTTATTCAACATAGCAGTGGAGGTCCTAGCCATGGCAATCAGACAACACAAAGAAATACAAGGCATCCAGATTGGTAAAAGAGAAGTCAGACTGTCACTATTTGCAGATGACATGATATTGTACATAAAAAATCCTAATGAATCCACCCCAAAACTACTACAACTGATATCTGAATTCAGCAAAGTTGCCGTATACAAATTTAATACTCAGATATCTGTTGCCTTCCTATATGCTAATGATGAACTAGCAGAAAGAGAAATCAGGAAAACAATTCCATTCACAATTGCATCAAAAAGAATAAAATACCTAGGAATAAATCTAACCAAGGAAGTGAAAGACCAATACCCTGAAAACTACAAGACACTCTAAGAGAAATTAAAGAGGACACTAACAAATCTAAATTCATCCCATGCTCTTGGGTTCGAAGAATTAATACTGTCAAAATGGACATCCTTCCTAAAGTAATCTACAGATTCAATGCAATCCCTATCAAAATTCCAACAACATTCTTCAATGAACTGGAACAAATATTTTAAAATTCATAAGAAACTGCAAAAGACCCCAAATAGCCAAAGCAATCCTGAGGAGGAAGAATAAAGCAGGGGGCATCTCGCTTCCCAACTTCAAGCTCTACTACAAAGCCACAGTAATCAAGACAATTTGAGTCACAGAATAGAGTCACAGACCAGTGGAGCAGAATAGAGAGTCCAGATATTAACCCAAACATATATGGTCAATTAATGGACAATAAAGGAGCTATGGGTATACAATGGGGAAATGACAGCCTCTTCAACAGCTGGTGTTGGCAAACTGGACAGCTACATGTCAGAGAATGAAACTGGATTACTGCCTAACTCCATACACAAAAGTAAATTTGAAATGGATCAAAGATCTGAATGTAAGTCATAAGGCCATTAAACTCTTAGAAGAAAACAAGGAAAACTCCCTTGGACATAAACATGAGCAACTTCTTTATGAACATATCTCCCTGGGCAAGAGAAATAAAAGCAAAAATGAACAAGTGGGACTATATCAAGCTGAAAGCTTCTGTACAGCAAAGGACACCATCAATAGAAAAAAAAGGCATCCTACAGTATGGGAGAAAATATTCATAAATGACATATCCAATAAGAGGTTGACATCCAAAATATATAAAGAGCTCACGTACCTCTACAAACAAAAAAGCAAATAACCCAATTAAAAAATGGGCAGAGGATCTGAACAGATACTTCTCCAAAGAAAAAGTTCAGGTGGCCAACAGGCACATGAAAAGATACTCCACATTGCTAATCATCAGAGAAATAAAAATTAAAACCACAATGAGATATCAGCTCATGCCAGCTAGGATGGCCACCATCCAAAAGACAAACAACAGCAAATGCTGGCGAGGATGTGGAGAAAGGGGATCCTATCTACGTTGCTGGTGGGACTGTAAATTAGTTCAACTATTTGCTCAGTGAAATAAGCCAGGTGGAGAAAGACAAGTATCAAATGATTTCACTCATCTGTGGAGTATAAGAACAAAGCAAAAACAGAAGGAACAAAACAGCAGCAGACTCACAGAACCCAAGAATGGACTAACATTTACCAAAGGGAAAGAGACTGAGGAGGACAGGTGGGAAGCGAGGGATAAGGGGAATAAGGGGCATTAAGGTTAGCACACATAATGTTGAGGGGACATAGGGAAGGCAGTATAACACAGAGAAGACAAGTAATGACTCTATAGCATCTTACTACACTGATGGACAGTGATTGTAACAGAATATGCGCTGGGGACTTGATAATGGGGGGATTCTAGTAACCACAATGTTGCTCATATAATTGCATATTAATGATACCAGAAAAACAAAAAAACAAAACACAAAATATTGGGAACTCACCCAAGCTTAGAAACTAAGAGAATACCATAGTTTTATTTTAGTAACATTTACTTACGAATAATACCATAAAAAAAATAATTTATGAATAAAATTTGGCAATCAATTAGTAATAAACATAAGAAAATAGTAAATCCATGCCTTGAACAAGCATGTTTTATATCTAGTATTTCTTATATATTTGTGATATATCATAAAGGGGTAACAACTATTTTCCTTGTTCAAGGGTAAAAATTCCTTCACAATGTCACTGTATAAAGATGCTTTCTCCACATTGCCAGATTGGTGGTAATAGTTGGAAGATAAATAAGTGGGTATTCTCTAGCTGTAGTCATTTTGAGGCCTGTACTTATTGCAGTTACCTAAATCACATGGCACAACCTCTATTTCCATAACTGTGAGTACAGTAAGATTACTAAAGATAGATTTTATCTAATATTAATTAACAAAGACCTCAGAACTTCACACAATTATATTCATGATTTACATCACCTTCTAAGAGGTTTAAACCATTTCCTATATAGCCATTAATATTGTGTAAGTGAAACCAAAAATTGAGGAAGTTAAATGAATTGCTTTATATGTCAAAATTAAAACTAATAAATTGGATCCAAGAATTATGTTCCTTCCATTTGTTTTCATACTCTTCCATCTCTGAAGATGACTGTAATCACATATGTGATTATATATATACGTATATACACACATTCGAATATATATATGTGAAAATACATATGTGTAAAAATACTACACACACACACTGGAACACAGATATAAGATACATTTAGTTACATCTAAACAAACTGATGTACCTATAAAAATGCAATGACTAACCTGGTGTTATTACTACTCCATTTCCATTGACCACAGGCCTTTCTTCCTCTTCCTCCTCAGGAGGCTCTGTACTCGCTTTTTCCATGTTGCTAACTGATTTATTCCTCTTCCGTTTTCCTTCAGCACTTGGAGTGGCTCCCGGAAGTATCTGGTCTGTTACATTTAATAATAATGGTGCTGGCTCGGCTGGAGGCTTCGGGGTACCGTAGTAATTGTCTGCAAATGATATCAAAACACTATGGAGTTAAATATTTCTCCTACTGTGTGCAAAATTAGAAAAGAATGGAAATTATTGACAAATTTGAATCTTACTATATATATAACATTTTATACATACATACGGAATAGTTTGGTATCCTTTTTTGTTTTTATTTATATCTTTATTTGTTCTTATAAGTTGTATTGGGCTTTAACACTTAAATAAAGATATAGATCTATTTTCATTTCTCACCTTTATGCCAATCAAAATATAGTCTTATGTATTAGTCATATATAGTACATAGTAATTTTTTAATTTTTATATATATTTAGTACATATATAGTACATAGTAATTTTTTGAATAATTTTTTAATTATTCAAAGCTTTTGGTAACAAATCTCGACTATAACCTCTTTAAAATAATTAGGTCTGAAAAAGGGTCCAGGTAATTTTTTTTTTTAAGCAAATCTCACACCATTCTGAAAGACAAAGCACATGGCCCTTTTCCCCAGCTTTCTATGGGCTCCGACTGCTGTCCTTGCTGTGCGCAGCTTCCGGCCCAGAGCTCTATCTCCAGGCCAGCTCAGGGGTTCCCACGGCTCCTGACAATGGGCCTGTGGCTCTAATCATTCTTCAGATTACCACAGCTCTTCTTCCTACAGCTCCATGATCTGAGCTATGGAATCATTTGTTTCTCCCATCAGTCTGTGGGACTTAAAGAAGGAGACTAATTCTTATTTCCCTCTGTCATAAGAAGCTGGTACATAGTAGGCATGGAATAGATGCTTATAAGTGAACATCTTTATACAGGCAAGGCAAACATTTAAAGTAGCCGACATTTTGATTGGTAAAGAACACAGTGGTGTTTTTAAAAATCAATGTCATATTTTTAGCACTGACTTAAAACCTATACTGGGTTTTCAGTTAATTGAATAAGTTATGCACTTATTTGCTCACATTCATTAAAATCTCTGTTTGATACTAACTATGCACTCAGGTATAGTTTTGAAAGAAAGTGATGAATATAATAAAATCTTTATCTTTAAGATTACTCAATGGTCTAGTGCAGAAGACAGGCATATTTGACATTAAGTAGATGAGCATAACTGGCAATAAGAGTAGGCACTGCAATAAGAGAGGCACAGAGGAGAAAACACACCTCACTAGCTACACAGGCCATTGAAGGCACACAGGGAAGAGTGTGCAGTGAGAGAAGCAACCTTCAGCCAGAAGTCATGGGTTCTGGACTTGGCTTTTCTACGAAACTACAACTCAGACAAGCTACCTAACCTCGGGAAGGTTCAATTTCTTCATCCGTAAATTGGAAACAGCAGAACCTGTTATAGTCACCTATGCTCTGGGTCACAAACAACCAAAACCTACTCTAGTTAAGTGAAACAGGACAGAATGTGCCAAAAAGATATGAGATGCTGGTTGTAAGAAGAGGCTGAAAAACATCAGGAAAAATGGGCAGAAACAAAGGAGTCCGATCGGGACACCCACGTTGCCTCTGCGGGCCCAGCGCCCTGCAAGCCCACTGGTTCCACAGCCACACTCACAGCCCCGGCTGTTGCTGCCTTCGTGGGAATGAGCCCTAGATGCTCCTCAGGACTTCCGAGTCGCTCATTTCTGGGAAACCCCTCAGGCAGGGTCATCTCAGTGGCTGAGCCGTGGGCCCACGAGAGCCTTGGAGCTGCGAGGCTGGGCGAGAGGACGGCTGCTCTCCTCTAACATCCGGAGAGACATGTGCAGCTCACCTTCTGCCCCCCCACCTTAGGGCTCTCCCCAGGCAGGAGGGCCTTGGGACGCTGGGCCCACAGAAATGACGAATGTCCACTGCACCTGCCCTCCCTGGGTTGGTGTGCAGATGAAGTAAGAACGGATGCGGAACAGCTTCATAACTGTAAAATTATAGCGGTTTTAATGGCAGTGTAAACGTCACCCTGGCAGGGAGTAAGCGAATCTTCTGAAGGCCAGCTGTGCACCGAGGCTCTTGCTTATTACCATATTCACAGTTGTAAGGGTAATACAAGGAAAAAATTACCATGTAAAGTGGTGGTTCTTACACATGTAGAACTTTCATAGGAAGTCTGCAAAGCTGATGACATACATTTTCCTAAAGTTTACTTTCTAATTTGATTTAAGGCATTTGAAATGAATTAGACTTTTGAATGTACTGGCCAAATTCTGAGTAAACACAACTGAGAGTTGCTCCCTAAAAATCTGTAATTTATTACCGTATTTGAACATCCATGAGGACTAGCTCCAGTCTCAGTAACTGCTTTGCTTTCTATGGAATTTCAGTATTTACTTATCTAATAAGCATAACATAAATCTAGGAAATAATCCTGCATTTCCCAGTAAATAATATAATTTTAAGCAGTATTATAAAATCTTTAATGCCTTTAAGTATATAAAGTACTAAGAAAAATGGATCACACTTCAGTGGTTTTTTTTTCAATTTGTCTTTTATAGTTTAAATCTCCCTGATACAGAAAAATAACCTTTACTAATTGGAAATAAATGCATAGCTCAGGCTAACAATAAATATTAAGTAACAGACCCTGTTGAATTTATATTGCTAAATAATTACAGCTATTGACGTGTGATGTGATTATAAATTATATAGTGATATTCTATTTCTACAATTTGAGTTATGAAAATAATACTTCAGATTAAATTTTAGATGAAAAACAGTATGAATCATTAGTTAAGATGTGAAGACTGTCTTTATTAGCAATAAAAACAGCAATTTAAAGGGGCACAGAAATAACCCGTACAATTCCCACAGTAAAGAAATAGTATTTATGGGGAATCGGCTATTACTCCAAACCCCATACACAGAACAAGGAAACCAGAAATACCTAAATGGAGTTGAAGCATCAGCCAGGTAGTGAGGGAGGGAGCTAAGAAATTGGAATGATTTCCTGATGAAAGTGCATACAAATTCATATACTAAGGGTAAAATGTGCTTTCAGATTCCACATCAGCATGTTTTCACAAAAATAAATAAACTCTAAAACTATTTTTAATCATAATTTGGAAAGACTATCCATTAAGAATGAGGTGCCTCTGCAAAGTGCCAGCATTGAGTGCATCTAAAATCTCAAAATGCCAAAACAACATGTAATGTTTAACAGCACAGATCATGATGACATAAACCTGGCTTTGAATTCTGTGTCCCCTAGTCTGGCTGCCTCTTTATATCCTTAAATTGATTCAGTTAAAGTGGGAACAAGAGGCTGTAAGAGGACTACAGTCACAAAAGGCACCATAACAAGTACTGCTATCACTACCATCACCACCAACACAATTTTCTGAGCTGCATCCTGTAATGGGCATTTGACTTATGCACACTTCTGTCAAATAGGGATCAGAATAACTCTTACCCCACAGTGCTGTTATAAAAATTAATAATAATGAGGGCATACATTGCATGACTGTATCAGAATATGTCCTCAAGATATGGTGGCAGCCTTTGGCATTGATTCACCACAAAACAGCATGAAGTCATTCTGCGTCTGCAGTTACAGGAAAATGAAGGCTCTAAAATGAAACTATTTCCCAATAGCATACATGAAGTAAGTGGAAAACCCGTACCTGTTTGAATTAAGAACTTTTTCTCTTTCAAACTACTATATTGCCTCTCCCGAGGAAAAAAAAGGTGATGCAATTTGCAGCCTGCCCAGAACTGACGCTAGAGGACTTCATCCAAAGCCACACCAAGGAGCACAACACACACTCTCCGCAGGGAAAGGCAGTAATTGCTACCCCATCACAGCCCACTTTTCACTGGCTACAAAGAATGATGGATTCATTATCAGTCTCAAATAAGTTTAATACAAAATTTCACTAATTTTGTTGTGGAATAAGATAACAAAATGGTAATAATGTATAAAATTGTTCACTTAGTTCTAGCATAATTAGGATGATCTATAAATTGACATAGTTCTTGTTTAAAATCAAGACCTGGAAAAAGAAGAGACAATTATTTGAGGACCTTGATTTATTCTTCAGTTTTTTAAGTGCAAGAATGGATTTTTTTCGTAAAGATACAGTTATGAAAGAATAAAAAAGGGTATTGTATCCATTTCTGACATAAATGTGGGAAAGCTTTCAAGAAATTTGAATAAAAAGAATAGCCTATAAAATGGCAATAATTGGCTTTGTAATATTTATAAAAATATTTAATAGTTGCGCATTTACACTGGACACTGTTATACTAATAATTAGCAAATGGAGAGGGACTAAAACAAATCATATTGTTTTCAACTAAACCTGCCTCAAGAGTCCCTGGAAAATCTAATCCATTGCCCACTGTTATGCAGACCCATTTCTAAGGCATCCTGAACAGATAAAAATAGCTTGCTAAATAACTTTTCATGTACTACACATGAAGACTATCATGGAATTACTCCTCTGCTTTCTCCACACTCAGTAGACAAAATAACCTTTTCAAAAAGTCTTATTCTAAGTTTTTTAAATAATGTTTTTACCTTCCTTCTGGTGCTTCCTAGTTGTATTGTTTTCATGTTATTTTAACAGTGAGTCAAGGTGAAAAAAGAAATAGGAAAATACTTCAATGAAGTAAAAACTGTTTTTTGTACCCCACATCTTTATGGAAGTGTAATAGATACTAAAACAATATGTTAGTTTAGACCCATAAACAAAGAGAAGAGACTGCTGGTTGCCACAGGAAAGGTGGGTGGGAGATGGGTGAAATAGGTGAAGGGGATACAGAGGCACAATCAATCAATTACTTTGTAATATCTTTGTATGCTGACAGACAGTAACTACATTTATCATGGTGAGCATTTAATTGTACTTAATTGTTGAATCATTATTTTGTACATCTGAAACAAATATAATATTGCCTAGCAACTATATTTCAATTAAAAAATAAAAAATGTAATATAAAATAAAATAAAAAAATAGTACTTTCTGCAATGCACCATGTTCCTTATGCCTTTAAGTTCTAATAATTAACAAGAAGTAGAAAAGACACTAAAAAACTAGT